GGGAAAGCAAGGCTATGTGAAATTTTATGGAAACGTCAGCTCAACTCATATCATTGTGGGAAAATTCTTCTCCCACCAGTCCTTTATGACCTTAAATGAAATAGGGTGAATACATCTCATATTACGGATCTACTGGTGGTCACGAAAACAATACTTAATTCGAATAATATATTTAGGCCAAAATAGTGTGGCTCTCGGTATGGTCGCAGTCTCCTTTCGATGTCGAGGAGTGGGTTGACTTCATTTCGCAACTTGGTCATGTTGTCAGGGCGACTTAGATTATTGCAATTTTCAGAAATTATCAGAAATAGTAGTCATAATAATTTCCAGCATAGAACCGTGGAAGTTTTGCAAGCATTGTATTCTGCATCGCCAATGAACTTTGCCATTCTGCAACTCGTCCATTGGTTTCAACTGTCTGTACACCAGTTTGGTGCTAAAAATGACAAGATTCACCAACGATGCCGAATATGATGCTGACGAAACTTATGTAAATATGCATTCATGGTTAATATGGCAGAGTTCGTTTGGTCGCTCTGACAAAAGAGGTCAAACCACTTGTTTACAACGAAAGGACACCGTAAAAAGATCAGCAAAATGAAGTTCTCTTGCGTCTCCAAGGCCTATTAGGTCTGATTTTTTTAAATCCGCTTATTTTAGAAATAAAATAAAAATGCAGTTTCTCGGGAAGCTGATTTTCGAGAACCGACATTTGCTGGCTAATTCGGCCATTTGCTCGCCAAGAGGGGTCATGTTATTTTCGGCGTTTGCATGTTTACGAATTTTGAGTTGCCAGGGCGCTTTATCACAATTGTAATAGACCATGCCAAAATGAATGAGGCATCTAGGCTCTAAAGATAGGACAATTTATGTAATGAAGACGAAATTAAGTAATTAACCTCGACATATTTGTTGTAGGCCATCAACGCATACTTAAAGCGATCTCCATGCAACAGGTGTCCGTCTGCCAGGAGATATCTGAGACAAAGTGCTTCGTGAACACGATGTATGCGTCCGGCTGGACATGTGTTTTCTTTGAGTTATAGCCTCTCTTCGCAGGCTCATCTGGAGCCTGGTTTGCCCAGCAGACACAAGCCTCCTGTCCTGGCGGCTTGTCTAGACGGTCGGTCAACCAAGTCGGGGGGATCTGGACTCGACGCGACGACAAAGCCAATGCGTTTAGCAGATGAAGCGACCCTTCCACTCCTAAGGAAACCTCGTATCCTAGGCGGGATGACCTTGAAATAATCTTTTTTGCGTGTGTGTTTTTAACAAATGCGACATTGATTATGATATTGAAATACATGGCTCATAAAGACTCAAATTGAGCCTAACAACCGTGTTACTCTGTCGCAACGCCCAGCGTGTGAATGTTAGACTGTCGATTCATTCCTTCCTTGTGTCTTCATCTCTCCGTGTATCCATAATTTATATTTCCCAATCTGTCCCTCAATCATACTGACCTCCATCCATCATTGCCTTCCTCCTCAGTCTGGCCGGATCCCTCAGCCTCTCAATGTATATGACAGCCTTTCTATCCCGAATGTTCAACCCCTTCCATGAGACCCCAGTAGACGGCCAGGCCGGTCAGTCTGCTGCCCCGACTTGCTCTGATTCGCTGTTTTCAGGCTGGCCATAGTCATAAACACACACACACAAGCCTACACATGCACTCACGAGACTATTTGTACATGTCTGCGGCATGCATACACTAATGTAGACAAGATGCCATTGAACACACACACACGTCTACTCACACAGTAACCATTTCTGTTAATGTTATCAAGAAATTGAATTGAGAAAATAATTCTCAAGCGTCTGTCTTTGCTCACCTCATGATTGTTATCGAGCCGTCCTCTCATTTGCATTTTCATATGTCCCCCACCAGGCGTGTTTAATATCAGCATTGCAAGAGTGAGTAGCCCATCCTAGCACGTGGCAAGAAGAATGTTAAAAGAGGCGCCAGAAAAGACTGCATTAGTTTCTCGTCTTCTCGCTCCTCGCTCGGCTCTCTCTCGGCAACCGTGGAGTCCGAAAATGTCATAATATATGTTATCCAACGCTCGTTGTGAGGATGGGTCAGAAACTGAAAACTCCTCCGAAGCCAACAAAATGGGGGTCTTTCAAAATGGGTTGCAACGTATGTTTTGGACGACAAGTGTGAAAACTGTGTCAGTGCCAAATATGTGTGGATGTCCGTTGATGACAGCAACTGATACCGAGAGAATGAGTTCATCGCGTTCAGGAAGCAAAGTTACAGGCAGTGATCGTTGGCGTTCCCACGATCATTCTGTTCACCACGTCCTGATGGGCCAAATGGGGCAACTCTGTCTCGGGAGCATAATCAGTATTATTATTATCATCAATCATAGGGTCAGAATAGAAATGAAGCAAACTCATAGAAAGCATCATGGATCCACGGCATAGGAACTAATGGCGAGGACACATTTGCACTGGGAACTAGACGAACCAATTGAAAGGAAAACGCGGGAAAACTTTGCAGAAAATTGCCGGAATTTCTTCTTCATATGAAGGCTTCAAATGCAATAAAACGCAGGACTGACGCCTACCTGGTCCATCGGAGAATGGTTTGTCTGAGAGAATTTAGCTCATAAATTGAGAAAATCCTTAGCCATACAAGCGAAAAAAGCAAACTTGAAAGCTCCAGAATCGAGCTTACCAAGGCCATTATTTGCCGCCCGCTTTGTATAAATAGACTTGATGCAAATACTAAGAAAAGAATATAAATAGACAAAAGTAGTGCTTTTATATGCATCAATGTATCTAGCTTAGTAGTTCCCAAGCTCTAAAGGACATTTTAATGCTTACTCCATATTTCTGTTCTATCCAGCCGAGGTAAAAAAATTCCCGGAATAATATGAAGTAAAGATATACAAATAATTTTCAAAAGAGTATAATTGCAACTTATAGATCTTAGATATGAAGACCAAGATGGTGTGGCCTTCTGTTTGGTAGCAGTCTCCTTAAGCTTTATAACGTCGTTGGTTTCACCTTGTTTTCGCAACTTGGTCGGAGCGTCAGGGAGACACGTTCATTAATATGGGCATGGACATGTGCATCATCTGCGCTAACTCCTCGAATATGGCGGAATCGAGGAAGGAAATGGAAGGTTCTTAGGCAGCCAGATTTCGGACAGACAAACAATGATTTTGATGTTGGGGGGACTTTCATTTCGTATAAAAGTGCATGAAGAAGAGATTCATAGGTCGATTGTTTAGCACAAGTCTGGTGAAAGGATCGGCTTCATTTGTTTCTTTGACGAGTTTTTGTGTGGTGCTGAGAATGGCGATACTCACTGACGATGCCGGCGAAACGTTTTGGAATGTACCACGTTCACGGTTAAT